AAAGCGTGAGTTTAACGTAGGAGACTATGTATTATTATTCAACTCTCGTTTAAGATTTTTTGCAGGAAAACTTCTCTCTAAATGGGAAGGTCCCTACATTATCGAGAAGGTCTATCGTTCTGGTGCCATAAAAATCAACAACTTCGAAGGCACAAGTCCAAGGGTGGTAAACGGTCAATGAATTAAACATTATATTTCAGGTAATCCTATCAATGTTGAAACTAATATTATTGAAACTGTAACCCCTGAGGAATACATAAGGGACACTTTCCAGAACGTCCCAGACACCGAAAAGGAATAGGTATGTGGTACGGTAAGTAAACCGACTCCAAAACAACTCCAATGGCAATTTTTATTAGTTTTGGAATAATTAAGAATTTTAGGAAGAAATAAGTAGTCCGAAAGGGACACGAGGACTCCACGAGAGTGGATGGCGCCCCCCTACTGGGCGCCCCCCTGTCTCGTGGGCACCTCGTGTGCCTCCTGGACTCCGTCTTCTTTCATGTTATGTATTTTGGTCGATAAAAATTCATTATATATACTCCCGAAGGTTTTGACCACCGTATCACGCAAATATCCTCTATTTTCGTTTCGAGCTGTATCTGTTTCAGATCTAGAGCATCATGTCGTCTCCAAGTGCTCCCAAGGACAAATTTTTTGAGAGGGTTATTAACCCCTATCTTGCGGAGGTGTTGCAACACCCTCAATCCATTGAGATGCGTGAGGGGGTGCTGCACATCCGCGATGTGGAGGGACCAAGGCGTACCGGAAGTGTGGAGACAAAGCTCGAAGCCGTGGAGCAGCATGTTTTCAAGTGCCAAGGGATGATGGAGCGTGGACTCAACGCCAACCAGATGATGATCACGGAGTTCTCCAACAACCGCAAGCTAGATGCCAAAGTCATTGGGGAGACCATCTTCAAGCTTCAAGAGAAAATCGAGCATCTCCAAGCCCAGATCTATGACCTGCAAAACCAGAACTATGAGTATGAATATAGATTCAAGAGGATGAGTTTGGCTGCAGATTTAAGAATCCCGGAGACTCGATTATCCTTCTACGATGGTGAGCCTATGCCTTGAAAGACGGACGACAAGCCTACATCATCAACAACTCTTACTTCACCACCTCCGAGGACATAATCACTTGGGTATGGGCACTCCCCTTGGCAACTGCCAAGCTTGGGGGAGGTGCCCCGGTATCGTATCACCATCACACTCCTGTCTTTACCGTTTTATTTAGTTCGATCCTTTTAGTAGTATCTTGATCTAGTAGATTGAAGTTTTGATATCAAGTAGTTTTGAGTTTTGCTTTGTGATCTCTTTTTGTAATCGAGTCCGTGAGCTATCTATAATAAAGATTAGTGTTGAGTCAAGGGCTTTGCTATGTTGCTATGATCTTGAGAAAGTAGAAAGAATTAAAGAGTTCATATTGATCTTATGGTTAGTGATGACTTCACATATAGAAAGTATGAGGCATAAAAATTGCTGAGAGTTGATAAATGTAGTTTTGGTCATCGTTGCAATTAATAGGAAGTAATAAGGAAAGAGAGGTTCACATATAAATATATTATCTTGGACACCTTTTATGATTGGGAGCACTCATTAGGTATGACATGCTAAAAGAGTTAACGTTGGACAAGGAAGACAACGTAATGGTTTATATTTTCTCACATCTAAGTTAAAGTATATTGTTATTGACCTTCCAAACATGTTGAGCTTGCCTTTCCCCCTCATACTAGCCAAATTCCTTGCACCAAGTAGAGATACTACTTGTGCTTCCAAATACCCTTAAACCCAGTTTTCGCCATGAGAGTCCACCATACCTACCTATGGATTGAGTAAGATCCTTCAAGTTAGTTGTCATCGGTGCAAGCAATAAAAATTGCTCTCTAAATATGCATGACTTATTAGTGCGGAGAAAATAAGCTTTGTACGATCTTGTTGTGGAAGTAATAAAAGCGACGGACTGCATAATAAAGGTCCATATACAAGGGGCAATATAAAGTGACGTTCTTTCGCATTAAGATTTTGTGTATCCAACCCTAAAAGCGCATGACAACCTCTGCTTCCCTCTGCGAAGGGCCTATCTTTTACTTTATGTTTTTACTTTATGCTTGAGTCAAGGTGATCCTCACCTTTCTTTTTTTCATTTTATCCTTTGGCAAGCTCCTCGTATTTGAAAGATCATGATATATATATCCAATCGGATGTAAGTTAGCATGGGCTATTATTGTTGACATCACCTAAAGGTGAATACGTTGGGAGGCAAGACAATAAGCCCCTATCTTTCTCAGTGTCCGGCTGAAACTCCATAACCACAAGTATTGCATGAGTGTTAGCAATTATAGAAGACTACAAGATAGTTGAGTATGTGAATTTGCTGAAAAGCTCTATTGTTCACTCTTTCTGATGTTATGATAAATTGCATTTGCTTCAATGACTGAGATTACAGTTTATTAGTTCCCAATGAAGTTTTTGAACCATACTTGACATTGTGAATTGATTGTCACTTAAGCATAGGAAATCATATGATAAAATTTATATATGTTGCTGTTATAAGAATGATCATGATGCCCCCATGTCTGTATTTTATTTTTATCGACACCTCTATCTCTAAACATGTGGACATATTTTTCGATTTCGACTTCCGCTTGAGGACAAGCGAGGTCTAAGCTTGGGGGAGTTGATACGTCCATTTTGCATCATGCTTTTATGTCAATATTTATTGCATTATGGGTTGTTATTACACATTATATCTCAATACTTATGGCTATTCTCTCTTATTTTACAAGGTTTACCATGAAGAGGGGGAATGCCGGCAACTGAAATTCTGGCTGGAAAAGGAGCAAACATTGGAAACCTATTCTGCACTGCTCCAAAAATCCTGAAACTCCAGGAAACATCTTTTTGGAATTAATAAGAATTATTGAGCGAAAGAAATACATCAGGGGGCCCACACTTTGGCCAGGAGAGTGGGGGGCTCCCCCCCTACTGGGCGCGTCCCCTGTCTCCTGGGCCCCCTGGTGGGCCTCCGATGTCCATCTTCTGCTATATGAGAGCTTTTACCCTGGAAAAAATCGTGGGCAATCTTACGGGACGAAACTCCGCCGCCCGAGGCGGAACCTTGGCGGAACCAATCTAGGGCTCTGGCGGAGCTGTTCTGCCGGGGACACTTCCCTCCGGGAGGGAAGTCATCACCAACGTCATCACCAACGATCCTCTCATCGGGAGGGGGTCAATATCCATCAACATCTTCATCATCACCATCTTCTCTCAAAATCCTAGTTCATCTCTTCTATCCAATCTTGTATCAAAACCACAAATTGGTACCTGTGGGTTGCTAGTAGTGTTGATTACTCCTTGTAGTTGATGCTATTTGGTTTACTTGGTGGAAGATCATATGTTCAAATCCTCAATACATATTATTACCCCTCTGATTATGAACATGAATATGCTTTGTGAGTAGTGACGTTTGTTCCTGAGGACATGGGTGAAGTCTTGATATTAGTAGTCATGTGAATTTGGTATTTGTTCGATATTTTGATGAGATGTATGTTGTCTTTTCCTCTAGTGATGTTGTGTGAACGTCGACTACATGACACTTCACCATTATTTGGGCCTAGAGGAAGGCATAGGGAAGTAATAAGTAGATGATGGGTTGCTAGAGTGACAACAGCTTAAACCCTAGTTTATGCGTTGCTTTGTTAGGGGCTGATTTGGATCCATATGTTTAATGTTGTGGTTAGGTTTATCTTAATACTTTTTTTGTAGTTGCGGATGCTTGCAATAGGGGTTAATAATAAGTGGGATGCTTGTCCAAGTAAGGGCAGTACCCAAGCACCGGTCCACCCACATATCAAATTATCAAAGTACCGAACGCGAATCATATGAGCGTGATGAAAACTAGCTTGGCGATAATTCCCATGTGTCCTCGGGAGCTCCTTTTTCATTATTAGAAATTGTCCAGGCTTATCCTTTGCTACATAAAAGATTGGGCCACCTTGCTGCAATTTATTTACTTTATTTACTTGTTACTCGTTACCATTTATCTTATCACAAAACTATCTATCACCTACAATTTCAGTGCTTGCAGAGAAAACCTTACTAAAAACCGCTTATCAATTCCTTCTGCTCCTCGTTGGGTTCGACACTCTTACTTATCGAAAGGACTACGATTGATCCCCTACACTTGTGGGTCATCAACGAACCATTTCTTTCCTCTCTCCCGCGTGCAATCCAAGTCTGGCCGGATCATCGGGTGGCAAGACTTTGTCGACCGTTGTAGCCACCTCATCCTCGTCGTAGCCCGAATGGAAGAACTCACAGATGAGATCGGACGGGGTCGAAGACGACGGAGAGGCCGTCGTCGAGTCCCCATCCTCATCCAGGTCATCCTCATCGGAGTCCGCTAGGGCCCAAAAGCGGCCACCGACCCGCCGGCGATCCCCGCTCGATGAGAGCGGGACGCCTGTAGTCGCCCCAGTAGTCGTCCCAGAATGTTTGTTCATAGGATTCTTTTCCTTTTTGTCAACTTTTTGCACCCAAGGCCAAGAACAAACCTTTTACACTACATGAAAGTTTCATAAATGCGTGATGAACGTTTTATTTTTTAAACTAAATCAATTTATTGAAATATATGTCTTTAGAATATATTTTCAAAATATATAAACAGAATAGAAAAAAGAAGAACGAATGAATAAACTCAGGACAGCCGTACGACTCCATCGAACGTGCGAAAACTGGGCCGGCCCACTACAGCCACAAGCAAGACAAAGACGCTCCCCCAAACCCTCGCTCGCCGGCAAACTCCGGTCGTCGCCCGATCCCGCCGGCCGCCGCGCCCCTCGCCGGCGGCTACCACCCACAACTCTTGGACTGGGGACGGGAGCTCAGCCCAAAGTCAGGCTGCGTTGGTCCCCCAACCCCTGCTCCCCCTTCCTCCCGACCGATTCAGCAACCCACTCGCTCGCTCCCCATCAATCAAGGAGCAGGGGGGCAGAGATGGCGGCCATGGGCGACGACCTGCGGCTGGACCTCGACAAGCTCCCCATCAAGCGCCTCGAGGCCATCGACGAGGCCGGCAACGAGCACTACCCGCCGTAAGCCCCCCTCCCCCTTCCCTCCCCTTCCCTCGATCCAAATCGCCTGCTCACCGGCGAGCACGCGGCCGCAGGGACGGCAGCAGCGAGGAGCAGAGGCTGGCGGCGCGCGTCGACTTCTCCTGGGTCGTCGAGCGGGACGCCAAGAAGGCCAAGAAGGCGGCGGCCGAGGACGTCGCCCACAAGGCCTGGCCATGGCAGGGCCTCCACGAGAGCCTGCAGCTGGCGCAGCAGGAGCTCACCGTCGTCCTCGATCTCATCTCCACGGTCCGCCCACATCTCTGTCCGTCCGCATGTCGGCCCGATGACGCCCTCGTATGTTGGATGCGATGATGTTCCTGGTTATTATGGATGGATAACAATGCAGGTCGAGGCGAACGATACTGTGGCCTTCGCGGCCATCTCCAAACCCAAGCCGCTAGTGGACGAAGTCCTCGTCGACATGGCCCTCTCCGCCGCCACCAAGCTCCAGCGCCTTCGGGTATGCCCCTGTTAATCTGCAGTAGAAACTAATAGAACATTTGTATCCAATTAGTACAAGACAGACAAAATGGGGGCAGAAGTAAACTGCAATGAAAGATGTTTCAAGTAGTTCATGCTTGCCGTCTCAGAAAGGGCAGCCCGGTGCATGTAGCTCCCGCTTGCGCAGGGTCGGGGAAGGGTCCGACCACTTTGGGTCTATAGTACGCAGCCTTTCCCTACATTTCTGTAATGCTTGCCGTCTCAGAAAGAAAAAGAAAAAAGGCAGTTCACGTTTGAACTTACACCATAGATCCTAATTGTTATGCTATCTCAGCATCTGGGACGGTACTTCAAGCAATCGGCCAAAACGATGGAGCAGCAGTTCCAGAAGGAGGCTAAGTTCTACGGCTCATTGATCAGGTTTGTCTTGTTTCAGGAATTGTGAATTTCAGCTATCACCTAAATAGTGATGTTTGTATTATAACCAGTGTTGTTGGATTGGCAGGTTGCAACAGAACTGGAAAGTTAAGAGGCAGCGTGGGAATGCTCCAGGAAGTAACAGCTTCATGTTTGATGTAGTTGACACTTCTCAGTTGGACACAGAAGTGATGCCCCGATTGTCATCATTGTCTTTCGTTCCAATCGATCAGGACTCATCGGGTACTTTGTCTGTACAAGTCCCACAAAAGTCGTGCCGTTTCTTGAGCCTTCAGTTTCGTGGGGACAGTGCCAGCGGTGTGGAAAGCTACACTTGCAAAACGAAAGGTGTCTCAAGCACCACTTCTTCTGCAGCGGAAGATGATGCCTCAGAGAATGATGATGTCAATAAGTCTGTCAAACAAGCGCATTCCATTCTTCGCAATATCCACAAGTCAATATTTGAGGAGCAGGTTGTCTAAATGCTTTTGATTATTAAATACCTGTCTTTTTGACCAACTAGAGTTCCATGAAAATTTATTGCTGTGACAAATTTTGCCCTCTCCGTTCGTCATTCTTTATCTACCATACTACCTTGTGCTTAGCTAAGTGTATGCCTTTGTAGGTATTTGATATGATGATCCGTGAGACATTTGTCCAAACTCAAGGCGTCAACGTAACTGGAATGCGCGAGGATTTTCTCCAATTAGCCATTGGCCAGGAAAACTTGTTGTGCCTTTCGCTTGCGAATTCTGGACAGGACAGTGACTCGGAAATGGCAGGCCATGAAGAGCACACTAATTCAGAGGCGAATCTTGTGTTAGCCACCACCAATGGGAAGCAGGAGCCTTTAAAAAGCAACCCCTCAGGGTTTCTTAACCCGAAAAGTCTGGAGATTTACCTGCTACATATGTTCCATGACAACATTCTTAAGAAAGTCAGGGAGAAATATCGTAATATTGTTCGCTACCAGAGTCCTGCTCACACTGCAGAGCCTGCAGGTGACGAGTGTGGCTCGCTAGGCCATTTCTGCATGACAGTTGCTCATAAAATATTTTCAAATAAAGTGCAGCTGGAGCTGGAGTGTGTGGTATAACTACTATTTTTTTTTTCTGTTCGTCAATGCAGCAGTATATATACCATGGGTATAGACTGGTGTATCTAACTTCCTTTTTACTAGTGCAGGTTAGCAGGGTTCCGTATCTCCATCTGCAGTCCCTTCCTACATGGCATTCCCGAACTTCTTCCTGGTCTATCTGCCTAAGCGTCCCGCAGCCTATTTTGGCTGCTGACCGGCTCATGAAGCCTTCGGACAATGGTGAGCCTGAATACAAATCTTCCAGGACACAGTTCAACATGAAGATTGTCTTGAAGGATGGCCAGATAAGTTTGTTGGGCGAAGGTTCTCCGAGCATTGCTGGATCATTGACCAGGAAGCCCTCGGATGGGTATCTGATAAACAGTTACAGCTGTGACTTGGAGGACCTCCCAACGATGGTTCTGCAGCAGGTAAACTTGTGATGAAGCTTCTTGAGTTATTATCCTTCTATCATGGCTAGATTAGTTTACCAATGTTACTACTGTTGGGAGTATTTATGATTCAGAAGGGTGAAGCACCATTTATGCCTGGAAAGCGCATGAACCACTTGATCATACCATGATCAAATTTAGTAAATGCAAGTGCCCTGTGATTGGCTGCAATGTTTATTGTTCAGTCCCTGCACTCCATGCAAGTTTGTCTGACTAGTAGAAAGTGTTGAGTTCCAGTATGGCTTCAGGGCAGACTGCAGAGAATACATATGCTGATACATTTTAGGATCTTTGCCATGCTTCCATTTTACAATAGGAGTGTTGCTTCAAGATCTACTTCATCATGATAGTGTACAGAGCACATCATCTGCACATATATGTATGTGTCTGCAGGTGGCGAGCCAGGTGATAAACTGGCTCCACGAGGAGGCGCAGGTCCTGGGGGTGAGTGTGACGAGGGACTTTTTAGGCCTCTACTTTGACCTGGACCACGGCGACACGACGCTGGGCCTGGTGGCGCAAGTCGACCCGGACGATGCTTATGGGTGCGTGTCGTGGTACCTGACAGTGGACCACCCGGCGGAGGAGGACGGGAAGGTGCCAGCGGTGGACGACCCCTGGGCGGAGAAGTGCAGGTTCCTGGGGTACCTGTCCCTGGAGGTGCTCCACGCCACCCTCATGGACCTCATCAACCTGTGTGATAACCGGCGCCCACCCGCTGAGATGATGGTAGAAGTGTGCAGCAGTGCTGGATTCGTTTCTTACTGTGCGCATTGACTGACTAATGCTGGATCTGGAGTTGTCAGAGGCATAAGCTGTTGTATTAAGGAAAGCACTTTCGACTAGTTGGTAGCATCAGTGAGAAGGTTCCAAAATTTAGACCTCTTTTTTGGCTACCCTAAGGATAGTTTGTGGGCAAATCAATCTGCTACAAGTTGGTACTTACTAGAGTCTTAGATTCAGAAAACACAAGCTAGCACTGTATTCTCATACAATTGATGTACATTTGCTTCAGGCCAGACAACAGAAAACAGTTGAAGTCACATAACATATGTCTATATAAAACCAGATTTTGAATGGACCGCAATATCTGGGGAACATTCCCTGGGAGTGTTTTCCTAGCAAACGCTCGAATTGCCATGCAATATGATCTAAAGTTACCATGACAATTTTACAAGAATTGCCTGTATTTCAGAGACGTTCATGAGGCGGCAGCCATGGTTCGTTCCGTGCAGCTATGTGGTCACGTCAGTTTCGATGGTCCTCAAGTTTTTATAGGCCCCATAGTGATGTTGCTCGCGTCACTCGCCGTCGGCATGCACGATATCCATTGCACATTGTCGTTGATTCGCTGTACAGGTGAGCCCATAACCCTCACACACTAATTTTTTTCATTTCCCTGATAAAGAGCAGTATATTAATATCATTAGACATTAAACTCGATTGTCTGGGAGGTGGTTCCAGGTAGGCTGTGGCCTACGGCAGGGGATCCCATTTCCCCCTACTTCTTCATCATCGTCGCCGACGTCCTTCAACGTCTCATCCGCCACGACGATGAGCTGCGCCACCCCCTGCTGCCGGACGCCCCGGCGGCGGTGCTTCAGTACGCCGACGTCACCCTGATTATCATGAGGGCGTGTCGGCGGGGGGCGGCGCGCCTAAAGCTGCTTCTGGACCAGTTCGCAGAGGCCACCGGGCTGGTGATCAACTTCGCCAAAAGCACCCTCGTCCCTATGCATACCGATGCCGACATTGTGGAGCAGGTGGTGGCCGCCTTGGGGTGCGCCGCCCGCGTGTTCCCAGAGTCGTACTTGGGCCTGCCTCTGTCGTGGGAAAAACTGCGCTTCACCGACTTCTTGCCCATGATCGCGAAGGTGGATAAATACCTTGCCGGTTGGGCTGCTCGCCTTCTCTCGCCAGCTGGGCGGCTCGTCCTCATCAACGCCGTCCTCGACGCCCTGCCAACCTATGCCATGGCGGCGCTTCTCCTGCCGCCTGCTGTCATCCATGCTCTGGATGGGCTCCGTCGCTCATTCCTCTGGAACGTCGCTGAACGGGTTTCCGGTGCCCAATGCCTGGTCGCGTGGCGGCAGGTCTGCTGCGCTAAAGCCGAAGGTGGCCTGGGGGTGCGTGACCTGGCCACCCAAAATGAGTGTCTCCTTCTCAAGATGATACACCGGCTGCATGCCTCGCCGCGGCCGAGATGGGCGTCGTGGGTCTGGGCTGGCGCGGCCGGTCACTCTCTCCTCTCGCGCGGCGAGCGGGCGCTGGGCGAGCACCGGGCCTCCATCGTCAAGCTGCTACCGCTCTACCGATCCCTCACAAGGGTGGACGTAGGGGATGGCAGGTGCTGCTCCTTCTGGTGGGATTGCTGGCTTCCCTGTGGTGCAATCGCCTCGGCCTTCCCCGCTCTCCTCTCGCACGCTGTCGAGGTCGAGGTCACAGTGTGGCAGGTGAGGCGGGACGGGCTTACTAGCTTTCTGGTCCCAAGGCGCACGGGCGTGGGTGCGCGCGAACTGCGGGAGGTTCAGAGGCTGCTGGGCGAGGCGCCGCGCCGTGAAGGCACCGATGAGCGTCGGCTGATCCACGCTCGGGCGCGCGCGGACGGGTTGTCCTCCAGTTTGGTCTACGCCCTCTTGCGGTTCGGCGGGGTCACCGTCCCCTTCGCCGCTATGATCTGGGGCGCGCGAGTGCCGTCCAGAGTCAAAGTGTTCTGCTGGCTGCTGGTTCAGAGACGCATCCACACGCGGGACATCCTGCTTCGGAAGAGCATCCTTGCTGCCGATGAGGCTGGCTGCCCCCTGTGCCATGCAGTACTCGAGACTGCAGACCACTTGATGTTTGTCTGCCCGTTCGCGGCAGGTTTCTGGCACAAAGTGGGGGTGTGCGTGGACGGGGCATCGGCTGCCAACCTGAACGCCCTAGCTAGGGCGGCAAGAAATATGGTCGCCTCTGAAAGGGAATTTGTGATGCTGTGCTGCTGGCAACTATGGAAGCATCGCAACGCCGTGGTCTTCCAGCGGCTGGTGCCGTCCTTGGCCAGGGCCCATCAGTGCTGTAGAGAGGATGCCGATCTGTGGCGTGTGCATTTGAAACAAGACCACCGGGCTCATGTCGACTCCTGGCTTGTGGCCCTAGCAAACTAGGCTTGTCCCCCCCACTCGGG